AAATGTTGTAAAAGATCCAAATGCATACATAAGCTGAAAGACAGCATGTAAAAAGATATTCCATGCACAAACAAAGTTGGGTAACTGTGCAAATACCAGACAAAACTGATTTTATTCCTAAATTATTTTAAGCAAGAAAACAAATAAAGTACAACATTATATACTGATAAAAGAATCCATCAATCAAAAAGACAACACTTAGGACCAGAAAGAAACAGAGTAAAAGAAGCAACTAAAAAATTTTAAAAAATGCTGTTTTTAGGGGAGCTGGAGAGATGGCTCAGCATCTCTGACTGCTCTTCCAGAGGACCCAGGTTCAATTCCCAGCATCCACACAGTAGCTCACAACTACCTGTAACTCCAATATCTGACACCCTCACACAGGTAAAACATCAATGCACATAAAAAATTTAAAAACATGTTTTTATGAAGAAATGAACAAAGTAACCAACGTAGCTAGACGGGGAAAAAGGAAGACTGGAATCACTGGGATGAGGAATGTTACATCACTGTCAGCCTTGATGAGGGTCCAGAGGGCTAGAAGCGGACACTCTGGACACTAAAGCCAGTAACCTGAGAGAAGCAAAGAAACTCCTGGACATACAAACTAAAAAGTGACCCAGGAACAAGAGACCTGACTCAAGAATAAAGGGAAAAAAAAGAATAAAGCAAAGAAATAAGCCCAGGATCTAATTCATGGCTTCGTCAATGAAGTCTAGCAAACAGGAGAATTAACACCAGTCCCATTCTTTCCCACTTCCTAAGCGGTCCTACAGGTCAGAATTCCCATCAAAGCCACTAAAAAATACTTTAAGAACTAGAGACCATACAACAACATCCCTTATGAACACACACACAGAAACCCTTAATAATAAAAGCTGAATGTAGCGGCTCACACCTTTAATTCTAGAAATCAGGAGGAAGAGGCACGTGGATCTGCAAGTTCTAGGTCAGCTTGACTACACAGCAAGTTACAGGCCAGCCAGAGCTACGTAGTGAAAGCTTGTCTAAAAAAAATTAATTAGGCCGGGTGGTGGCGGCGCATGCCTTTAATTACAACACTCCGGGAGGCACAGGCAGGAGAATCTCTGTAAGTTCGAGGCCAGCCTGGTCTACAAGAGCTAGTTCCAGGACAGGCACCAAAGTTACACAGATGAACCCTATCTCGGAAAAAAAAAAATTAAAAAAAATCTTAAACAAGAGACGGGAAAGAGGGCTGGAGAGATGGCTCAGAGGTTAAGAGCATTGCCTGCTCTTCCCAAGGTCCTGAGTTCAATTCCCAGCAACCACATGGTGGCTCACAACCATCTGTAATGGGGTCTGGTGCCCTCTTCTGGCCTGCAGGCATACACACAGTCAGAATATTGTATACATAATAAATAAATAAATATTTAAAAAAAGAAAGAAAGAAATGGGAAACGACTCTGTTAGTAAAGTGTTTGTCACACACACGAGGGACTGCTTGTATCTCCAGCACCCACATGAAAAGCCAAGCGTGGTGTTATATGCCTCTAATCTTAGCACTGGAGAAGCAGAGACAGGAAGAGTGGTCACCAACTACTCTTGACCAACCAGTGAACACCAGGTTTAGTGAGAGACCTTATATCAAAAAATAAGATTGAGAATGACACCAGATATCTAGCCTCCATGTATGTACCTGCACACACACACACGCACACACACACACGCACACATACACACGCACACACAAGGCACCAGGAAACTGAATTCAGCAGTCTAGTAGAAAGATTACACAGAATGACTGAGTAGGACTTACCCAAATAATGAAAAAATGGTTCAACAATGGTTATCAGTGTAATTATATAAGCCAACATGGTGAAGGAGAAAAATCAGTTTCTCAAATTGATGCCAAAAAAAAAAAAAATCACTTGACAAAAATCCAACCCACTTACCCCTTTGGTGATTAAAAATAGTACTGTTGATAAACATGCAACACAAGAAGACTTCCTTAGTTTGACAAAGGCTACTAGTAAACCCCATAGTTTAATAAAGGGCACTAGTAAACCCCCTAGCTAGTACCATACTCAACAGAGGAAGATTGTGAGCTTTGCCTCTAAGGTCAGGGTAAAGATAAGGATGTCTACTTTTACTACTTCAGCACTTTACAAGAGATTTTAGCCAGGGCAATTAAACAAAAAAAAAGAAGAGGACTAAACTAGGAGCTAGGTATGGTGGCACATACCTATAAGCTCAATACCCAGGATCCTTAGCAGAAAAATCATGAGTTTAAGGCCACCCTAGGCAACACAGTGAGTTCCAGGCCACTAGCCTGGGCTATAAGGCACAAATGTGCACATACATGAGCACACATACACACACACACACACACACACACAAGTCCAAGATCAAATCATAAGGAAGACTACCTCTGGCTCTGTGAATACACTGCACTATCTTTAAAAAGAAAAAAGTATTAGTGCTAATAAGTAAGTTAAGCAAAACCATAAGATCTTCAGTATCAACAATAAGAAAAATAAGCAGAAGGAAGTTAAGAAAACAATTTATTTGGCTGAGAATATACACCAACCAATGGCTAAGTATCTGCGTGTATATGCAACACAGATGAACAGAAAACCTAATGAAAAGCTATACTAGCAAAAAGCATGGTACTGGCAAAAGGATGGTGACAGAAAACAATGGATAGAACAGAGACAAAAAGTAAACTCGTGCGTCTGTGGTTAGTTGGTTCCTGACAAGTTCTCTAGAGAAAAAAGACTCTTAAGAAAGCTGTTGATGCAGCAGGCAGACCTCTTGAGTTTAAAACCAGCCTATTCTACAAGGGAGTTCCAGAATGGCTGGGGCTACACAGAGAAACTCTGTCTTGAAAAACCACTCTCTCTCTCAATCAATATCTCTCTCTCTCTCTCTCTCTCTCTCTCTCTCTCTCTCTCACACACACACACACACACACACACACACACAAACACAAAGGAAGAAAGAAAGCTGTAGATGACAGGAGAGATGGCTCAGTGGTTAAGAGCACTGATTGCTCTTCCAGAGGACCGAAGTTCAATTCCCAGCACCTAGGAGGCAGCTCACAACTGTCTGTAATTCCAGTCTCCATGAATCTGACACCCGCTTCTGGTCTCCATTAGCACCAGGTACATTCATGTGGTGCATAGACATACAAGCAGGCAGAACACCCATAAACATAAAAAAATAAAGAAAAGAAAAAAGAGAAAGAAAAAAATGTTTTTGAAAGGAAATAATATCTACAGATTTTTCAAAAAAGATGTCTAGTCTCCTACCTCTCCTGCCATTCATAAAAATTAACTCAAAATGGATTAAAGACTAAATATAAGAGCTAAAAGAATAAAAATCTCTAAAACAAACAAAGGAGTTATTTCTTTACTCCCTTGATCAAGCAATGGTTGTCTTAGATATTGACACCAAAAGACATGCCAGGAAGAAAAACTAAACTGGATTTCATCAGTTGTAAACTTTTGTGCAGCAAAGGTTACCACAAAAGAATAAAAAGATAATCCCCCAAAATGTGAGAAAATGTATGTAAATTATACATTCTAATAATGCTTTGGTATGCCACATATGTATACTGCTTCTAGAGCTCAGCAATGAAAAGACAAAAGACTTGGGCTGGAGAAATGGCTCAGAGGTTAAGAGAACTGACTGCTGTTCCAGAGGTCCTGAGTTCAATTCCCAGCAACCACATGATGGCTCACACCCATCTATAATGAGATTTTGTGCCCTGAACACTATAAACATAATAAATAAATTAAAGAAAAAGACTCAAGGAAACAGTGAGCAAAAAGTTGAACAGATTCCTCTCCAAAGATACACATCACCAGAGTACATGGAAGGCTTTTAACATCATTAACCACTTGGAAATGCAAACAAAACCGTGAGTTACTTCACACTCACCAGAATGGCTACAATAGTAATGACAAAAGAAAACAGCAAGTGATAGTGTGCGTGAGTAAATTGGAAAGTGTAAAATAGTATAATCAGTGAGAGTAACAGTCTGGCAGTTCTTCAAGATGATAAATATAGAATTATAAGGCATATGCTCAATGGATTTAAAAAAAAAACAACGCTCATATACTCAAAGAGTTGAAAAATCAGTGTTCCAACAAAAACTTGTGCACAAATATTTGTATGGGCACCACAAAAAGAATTTCCAACTGCAAAAATCTAAATGCCTATCAACTGATGAAATGGATAAATAGAACATAGTTTATCTGTGCAACGAAATTACTCTCTAATAAGGAATAAAGTATTGCTATAACAGATGAATATTAATAAAACTGTACTTAAGAGACTAAGCCAGTTACAACAGTACATACTATGGTGTGTTGATAGTATATGTCCAGAACTAACGAATCTGTAGACATGAACTACATCAGGCACTCAAGAGACCTCCATACAGCCAAGATCAATGCACTGCCAGATTTGGTATCTGGTGAAGACTGATTCCTGGCTCATTGAGGTTATTTTCCCTTTGTCCTTATATAAGAGAAGTGTCAAGGGCTATTTGGGGCCTCTTCTATGAAGCACTAACCCCATTCTCAATCATGAATCTCCACCCGCAAGACCCCATCACCTCTCAAAGGTCACACCTCCTAAAACCTACATGTGAATTAGGCTCCAGCTACACATTGGAAGTGGACACTGAGACAGCAATCAGTCGTTACCAAAGGGTGAGAAAGTGGCTGGAGGGAGGCAGAGGCAGGCAGATCTCTGTGGGCTCAAGGTTGGCCTGGTCTACATACTGATTCCATGCCAGGCGGGACTATACAGTCAGACCCTGTCAAGAGAGAAAGAGAGGAGACAGAGAGACAGACAAGACAGACAGAAGCTGAGGTCCATTTGATTCTTAGCAGGCAGCAGACCTAATCACTAGACCTAAAGATTACCAAGATACTTTTCTTCACCAGGATACTTTTCTCTAGACTAGAACAATATGAAACCATTTAAGTTCATAGGTTGATAAAAAAAACTATAATTATAATGTATCATGTTACCTCCTCTGGGAGAAGGAGAGTCATGGCCTCCAACGACTACAGAGATGCCAGAATCTTCCAGTTTCACCTTCCATTTCTCTATGATGGTCCTAGAATTGTCCTGTAAGTGTGATACTGCCGGTTAGGAAACGCCCTTAAGTGTGGTTTGTAAAGCATTAAGTCACCCAACAGCTGGCTCATAAATACCTTGCTGGCATCATTAAAAACAGAGAGCTCCATGGTGCCTTCAAAGTCTTGCTGTAACACAGACGCCAAGCACTCATCCAGCCACAGTTCAGCATTGTGCACTGGGAGGATAATAGTCTAGAATTCAGAGAAATGGGTTAGCCAACAGCCACGGGGAACCGCACGCCCTTCAGCATCCATGAGATGGCCTAGAACCAGGCCTCATGACAGGCATACCCAACAATCCAAATATATCTATGTCTCCTTTCTAAGCTCTTGCCATTCATTTGGCCCCTCAAGTTCCTGATGCTTTCAAAAAGTTATTTCATTTATTCATGTTGTTGTATGTATACACATGACACTGGGGAACAAGTCCAGGTTGTCAGGCTCAGTGCAAAGTGCCTTTACCTCTGATCGCTCTATCCCTATTCCTTTCTAGATGCTTCTGAAAGGGGGGGGGCTGAAAAGCATCAAAATGCCCCTCCAGCTCAATGGTAAATTCATTATTTTAATCACGAGGCAAAAGCATCGCCATTCTGATTAACATCTATCCCCTACTCATGAGAACCAGCCCTTGACTAGATGGCACACTCGTCCTTAGGAAAACTCCAACAACGTGACCCCTTCATACTCCTGCACAGCTAATCAAACAGCTGGATCAAGGGGGCCTGTAGAGACCCTTAATCTTTGTTCTGTCCTTGACTTCAGGCACCAGCACTTTCTCTCAGGAAGTGAGAGAAATAAAATCAAAATAAATAAAATCAAAAGTTTCTAAAGTGGCATAAAATAAAATCACTAAAACTTGATGACCAAAAGAACAATTGTCACTGGAACTGCCTCAATTTTATATGATGGAGTGAGCAATAAAGAACAGCCACAGATGGGGCTGAAGAGATTGCTCAGAGGTTAAGAGCACTGGCTGCTCTTCCAGAGGTCCTGAGTTCAATTCCCAGCAACCACATGGTGGCTCACAGCCATCTGTAATGAGATCTGGTGCCCTCTCCTGGCATGTGGGCAGACAGAACACTGTATACATAATAAATAAATCTTAAAAAAAAAAAAAGAACAGCCACAGAAATTAACGGTTGTTGCCACCCTTGAGTTATCGTGCAAATACAAAAGTTTCTCAGAAGGAAAACCAATAGGTTATGTAGGTGTGAACATACACACACATAACATGCACATGTTACATAGCTATATGTAACCCAGACAGTAGCTATAAAATCTCCACAAAGTCTACATACAATATAGACAATATCTATATAAATCACTATAGATAACATCTACACATAATATTTAAATTACTGAAACTGAACATAGTTACAAAAATTTATGAGTATTGAAGACAAAATTTACCAAGTTCTTTACAAACTAAATGCTCTTTGAGGAGGTGGGGATCCAAAAGTGGCATTTCATCCTGTGTTTGTTCTGAAAATGAATGCCTAAAGACTTTTTATTTATTATTATTATTTTTTTTTTTAGCTTCTTGGATTGAACCCAGGGCCTTGCATGTGTATAACAGAATTATACCCCAGTCCTCTGGACTGACTTTGTAAAGGAAATGAACATTTTTCATTTTCTCAAGACCTACAAGTGAAGAAGGGTGTGGGGTGACTCATATCTGTTATCAGTTAAGTGGGTGTGGAGGCTGGAGTGTTAGTTCACGGTCATCCTCAGCTATGGGTGTTGCAGGCCAGCCAGAGCCACGGGAGACCTAACAATAAAAAAAAAAAGGGGGGGTATGTGAATTTTTAACAAGGTTAGGCTAGGCCTTAATTGTGCTGCAGGCCAGCCAGAGCTATAGGAGACCTAACAATAAAAAAGGGATATGTGAATTTTTAACAAGGTTAGGCTAGGCCTTGATTTTACCTGTTCCCAATGTCAATAAGATGGGCATGAAAAATACAAATGACGCTGAGTCTCTGAACCGTACCTACAAGGTGTCCTGGCTCCTGACGTCTAACCCACCAGCTAGGTTAAGTGGGACAGGTGTGGCATACTGTCGAGGCGAGCAGGGCTAAGGGAGTGGGGGTGGGCGATAGTGTGCTGGACAAGTAGGTGTGTAGGTTAGTGTACGGTAGGAACTCTAGCAGGAGCGCCATCTGTACACACGTTCGCCTTGACACAGGAAAGGGTGGGTGCCGCCCTCCAAGCTGAGGTTCCTGAACCCGTGGCAGCGTTCCGGAAAGACCCTGGCGGCTGCGAGCCCAGAAAAAGATGATTACCAGGTCCGGAGGAGAAAAAGCTACAGAAGGGACGAGGGATGGGGCTGTGTCTCACCCCACCGTACCTACCACTGAGGCCAGCGGGCCATGCCCAGTGGAGTCCTTGGGGAGCTGCATGGCAGGGCTCCACCGCCCTCCTTTTGCACGCGCGTCCAGCACAAGCAGCCACGGTTTGCAGAGCAAGCTCCGGGAGGCGGTGCAGAGACTGGACCACTTCCGATTGGCGCCGTGCCACGTGGATCGCTAGGCGCTAGCGGGTTTCGGGCCGTGAGGGGCAGAAGATATCACATTCTATTGGTGCAGAGACACGTCAGTCAGGAAGGGAAGGCGGGGCTTCGGGCAGAGAGCCTAGCTAGGCGGCCTGCCGGTGTATCCAAGGGCTCGTGAGCTCGCGGGTCAAGCAGCCAGCGCTGCCCGAGCCGCTGAGGAGGGGGTTGGGGCCGGGAGGTGGCCGAAGCCTACACTGAGTGTGGGCAGGGCCTGGCCGAGCAAAGGGTTGGGCTCCCGAAGGCCGTGGGCGCTCCTGGCTTTCAGCCCTTCTCGTAGTACTCGCCGGTCTTTGCGGCTTCTTGCCCCGCGGAAGTCGTCTTGCCCCACCTGATGGAAATAATTGCAAACCGAAGTCCACAGTCATAAGAATGTGATAAAAAATATTTTAGAAACGGGGGAAACTTGTGAGGGGTGCCACCCTGTGCGCGTGGGTGATGACTTAAAGATCCAAAACCGACCACCCGAGGTTGGGCCTGAAGAACTTTAAAAAGGGAAATGGCAGTAAGTTTAAAATAAATAGGCGACATTTCATCTGAACTGTGTTTGGTCTGACTGTGCCGGAGGAGGAAAACGGATCCCGCCCAGTGGGAGGATCGCCTGGCTAGGCTGGTCTGGATTTGGAGTAACCAGCAGCAGATAATTTGTGTAGCCTGCATTTGGAGGCGCGAAACGCAATCAAAGCCAGGTGACTGAGTTTCTATGCTACACAGAGATTCACCGGCCCAAGGGTTGCTGGAGGTTGACGAGGGAAGGAAGAGTTCTATGAACTGTGAGAGTCCCAAAGTGCAGGAGTCTCACACACAGTGCCAGAAGGTCTCAGGAAATCAGTCTCAAAGGACAGGTGACAATCTCTGGATCACATGAAAGATAATAACTGGAGGGAGGATGGGAACCCAGATAGAGAGGAGGGTCTTGAGAGAAAATGCGTGATTACTAATATAAATGACCCGTGTGCGTTTCTTTTCCAGAGGCTTTTCTGACATTCGCTTGTGCCTGCAGTTTCTCTGACTAATCATCCCACAACTAGAAGTGTATTTTAAGATGGCATATTTTGGTCGTCCACACCCTCCATTTCTGAGGGGGTGACACTGAGGTCACCCACTGGCCTTGGCACCAAGCAGCCCTCAAGATGTTTCTACATTTAAAAATAGCAGGAGAAGGGATGGGAGAGATGGCTCAGTGGATAGAGCTGCTTGCTGCCAAGCCTTAAAACCCAACTTTGAGCCCCGACACCCACATGGTGTCAAGGAGAGAATCTACCCCAAGTTATTTTCTGACCTCCAAACATGTAGGCAGTTCATAGTCACCCACACCCGCAAAACAACTAAAGAAAATATAATTTAAAAATAATGGTCTCAGCAAAACTTCAGAGAATTGCAGTGCTTTTTTTTTAAACTTTAGTTTTAGATTATTTTATGTATTTGAGTGTTTTGCCTGCATGTATGTGTGTGTACCACATGCCTTCCTAGTGTCCATGAAGGTCAGATAAGGGTGTCAGATCCCCTGAGCTGGAATTACAGAATTGTGAGCCACCAAATTGGTGTTAAGAATCAAAACCATGTCTCTGCAAGACCAACAAGTGCTCGTAATTGCTGAGCCAACTCCCTGGCTAAGGATTGTAGTGCTGATACATTGAAACACTTTCCTCAGTAGGAAACAGTGGCCTGCTTTTCTTTCAAGGAAAGAATCTCCCTGGTAGTTCAGCAAAGGAACCTAGTACCCTTAGCAGTCTTGTTTGTTTGTTTGTTTTGTTTTTCAAGGCAGGGTTTCTCTGTAGCTTTGGAGCCTGTCCTGGAACTCACTCTGTAGACCAGGCTGGCTTTGAACTCACAGAGACCCGCCAGCCTCTGCCTCCTGAGTTCTGGGATTAAAGGTGTGCGCCACCACCACCCAGCCCCCCCCCCTTAGCAGCCTAACAAGCATGATTTTAGGAGATGAAGTGGAACCCAACCTGTTTCTACAGCCTGTCCTAGGCATCGCCAAACCTTTTCCTGCCTGTATAAACAAACGGGGCTATGATAGACCCTAACCCTAACCCTCTGCAAGTACTGTGAGCTCCCTAACTTGCCCCACATAGAGAAGGTAAGCAGGTGACAAGGACCCCGGAGCTCTGTATATTGAGTGTGCTTTGGCTAGCATTGTGCTACCCCTCTAACCTAGACGAACCCACTAAGGCATATGAGAATGTCTGTGAGCACCTCTTTTTATCTCCTATCCTTGTCTCTTATTTCCTGCCCTTTGTCCCTCTGGGGCAAATAAATCTCCTTTGTACTGAGACCTTGGTCTTGGGGTATAATACTGGTCCCTTCACTCACTGCCTGTAATCTCTTTGCAATAAGAAAGTTGCTTTTCTCTGTATCCTCCAACACTAGATGTTCTCTTTTAAAAAATTATGGCTATCTTTTTATGTGCATGGGTGTTCTGCACACATATGTGTAACACGTATGTGTGATACCTGTAGAGGCCAGGAGAGGGCGCTGGATCTCCTAGGACTGGAGTTACAGATGGTTGTGCACTAACATGTGGGTGCTGGGAATCAGACTCAGGTCCTCACAGGATCAACCAGTGCTCTTCATGCCTGAGCCATTTTGACAGCCCTGGATTTGTGTAACAGTTTCCTCTGATGATGAAATATTCCATCCTGCAGAGAAGCTCCTTAAGCAGGTAAATAACTCAAAATAGCTACAGGAAGTCCCTGAAACTAACCAGATTCACTAGGCCCCCTTCCTGCCAGAGTAAACAAAAGCTGACAAAACCCCTCTCAGACTGAAAGAAGCTGAGCTGCAAAGAAGACTCAGAGGAGAAAAGCTGCAAAGAAGGCTCAGATCAAAACAGCTGCCTCAAAGAGGCAGAAACCAGCATGTCTGGAAGAGGTGTAGACCAGCTGAGGCACCTAGAGAGGACACTCTCCAACCTGTCGAGCTACCTGTAGGCTGGGCAGTGTGCTGTATGTTCCCAGCTGGGTTGGCCCTTAGTGGTGCAGCTGTCTTTGAGTCATTTCTATTCCTGAAAGCAACCCCAATAAAACTCACTGGTTTACCACACTGGACTTGGGTGGTATCTGTACTTTGATCTGTCATGAGTTCCCTGTCTGGGGTGAGTAAACATGCGTGTTCCATCTCCTTAGGAAAAGCTTTGTCACACACCTAGAAGTTCCTTTTGCAAACATTCAGAGAGCTAAAGTGTTATATAAGTTCATGGTGGTAGCAGGGGCTGTTCTGAAATCCAAGAGTAGTGGAGCCTAAGCTTGAGCCCTCTGAGGTTGTGAGAGTCTCACTGAGATACTACCAAAGGGCCAGACTATGGATACCGGCACCGGCACTGGCAGACAATGGGAAATGGGCAAGGCATTATGTTTAATGTATTGAGAGCATGTTGTCTTTGTTTTGTTTTGGTTTGGTTTTGGTTTTTTGTCTGCTACCACGGCCTGGTGAGAGCATGTTGTTTTGAATCAGAGCAAAGAGGAGCAGGGATGAGGGATGCAGATGAGTAATTATGGGCATCTGGAAGAAAGTGCAAGGTGAGAGTCTCACCTCCCTGGCAATTTGGAATGCAGACCCTTAGTCTCTGCCCATCCTTCAGCTCAGCCACCCTGGCTTGTCATCCTGCATAGTCTGTAACCATTAGAAATGGCAAGTAGCCATGTCTACTCCCTCACTGCCTTCTGGAAGAGGATCCAGTGCCCCACATCTTGTCTCAAACACCTACCAAGCAAGGGGTGGTACCTATTTTCTTACCCAGCCCTTGAACCGGGGCCCCTAGAAGCCTTGTGTCTGTCGTGGATGAAACAAGGTGGGAAAGAGAAGGACGATGTTTGTATCTGCAGCGCTAACGAAAGGCTTATGGCTTTCTTCTTACCCATGAAAAGATTGACTGTCCTAGAGGCGTGGAGATAAGAAGGGTCCTCCGTTCACCTAGGAGTGGACTCCTGTTCGCATGGACTCCTGAGTGTGTGTGTATTTAGGGTTCTACATGACTCCTGGTCTATGTTAGTCTGTTCGCTTCTGTTTTTCAGCACAAACTGTAGGGTGCTGGTGGGCAGCCTAGTGCTGGCTGGTGTGTGGGGTACCATCTGGCTTTCAAACTGAGATTCAGAAAAAAAAAAAAGACACACTGCAGCAGGGTTGGGAGCTGGGTGGCATGGTTTCATATCCACCCTCTGCCAGTGATCCCAGCAGGGTGGGTGGAGCCCAGAGAGGCTCTGGCCCCAGAGAAGGGGAAGGAGTGAAAATGTCAACAGGAAGCCCCTTTGTGGGTACTTTTGAATGTTGTCTGTCCTCACTTCTTTGAAGTCCAGCAAGGGTGGACAGAATGACTTCCATCATCTCCAGATCACTTTCCTGGCCATCTTGCAGCCCAACTCACTTCCAGTTTCATGATCCTCATGAGCCCCAGAGCCTCACAATCTCCACTCTTCCTTAGTGGAGCTCAGCTGAGAGGCTGAGGACCAAATGTCATCTTTAGGGACACTTACTGACTAGGCTGGGTGGTAGGTATTCCATCCCTGTCTACCCTGCCACTACCCCAGCCCTTTCTCAATAATTTTCACAGTTGGCCAGGCAGCACCCGCTCTGTTCCCTAGATGGCAGCTTCCAAGGTCAAGTGGCAAATCACATCCCAATCAACGAGGCCCAGTAAGTTCTACACATAGTAGAGGCTCAAGGAGTCCATACCAGTGGATGCCACCAAACTGGAAAAGCACAGCCTTCAAGAGGAGCGTGTCCAGCACAATGTCCCTTTGGTGCTGAACACCTGAACCTCACTTCCTCCTAGTCATCACCTTAAGAATGTGGACACTAGCCGGACTGTCCTGGCAAGCTCTGGGCTCAAAGAACAGCTAGGCAGAGCTCCAGCCTTGAATGTCCTTCTCTGACTTGGAGGATGAAACAGAAG